CACAAAGAGGATGGAGTAGAACCCCCCTCCCCTGTGGTCTATCGGTACCGGTTCTATGGCCTGAATTTCTAAAAGATGTTGGATGGCCTCCTGCATGAGTCCCTGTTTGAAAGGATCCCTGGAGATGGAACAGACAACGAATCGATCCGGGGGTATTGCTAGAAACTCTAGGGACAGACCGAGTTGGATGGTTTGCAAGACCCAGTTGTCCGTGGAGGTGAGTTCCCAATGATAGAAGTGGGTCAGTCTTCCAGTGATGGGGAGAACAGAGTAGGAATCACTTGGACTTTCTATAGGACGTCCAGCCCCTCGAAATGGCCGCTTGGACTGGGCCTGTTGTCTGGGCCGAAACCCTGGCCTGTCATAAGGACAATCGTACAGTCTTTCCTGCCTGGGAGTATATGGGCGGGAGGGTTGAATGTTGTACCTGCTGCCTGCTGAAAGAACTGCCTACGAAAGTAGGGAGTGGGACGCTTTGGGACTTCTTGTTTAAGTGAGCCATGACCTTGCGCTTGTCCTTGTTCTCCACAAGGTATGGGGCCAAGGCCTCCCCAAACAAGTTGTTGCCCAGATAAGGGGCAGTCGCTAGATGCCATTTGAGTTTGGCGTCAGCCTGCCAATGTTTAAGCCACAGCATCCACCTGGCAGTGATGTTGGAAGCAATAGACCTAGAGGCAAAAACCGCGGACTGAAGCGTTGCATCAGCAGCGTACTCAGTGGCCGCTACCATCTTGCTTAGGTCCTGGTGGGTCTGCAAGTCCTCAGCAGGTACCCTAGCCTGAAGTTGACGCAACCACAAAAGGGTAATCCTGACAAAAAAGGACGCACAGCTAGCCGTTTTGATTGCCCATGCCGCTGATTGGTGGGTCTTCCAGAAGGTGTGTTCCCATTTCTTGTCGTCTGCTTTAAGCACCTCCAACAAGTCCCCTCCGATCGCCGTCTGGGATACCAGAGATGTCCATGCTTCATCTACTTTGGGGACCTCCAGCGCATCAGTGAGATCTGTGGAGGTGCTATAGATCTTTTTTCAGTCCCACTAATGGTAGGGAATGAAGCAGGGGAAGCCCATGGCTTCTTTATCCCTTTCAGGAAGATAGAGGGGCACGGGACATGATGTTCGGTTGCCACCGTCTCAAAAAATATCGGATTGGGGCTGGTATCCAATGGAGCCTGTGGTTGAGGGAACTGATCTGAGCCTATATTTGCCGTTGCTGTGGCCTTGCGCAGGATTGAAAGAAAAAGGGCCAAATTGAAAAGCCCTCCTGAAGGGGAGGGCTCAGGCTAGAGTTCCTCCTCCCCGATAGAATGATATCTGGTAGCTCCTCACCTTGGGGGGATGAGTATCCGCTCATGGAGGAGTGCGCAGGAGAGGTAGGCTCCTGGGGTATGGGGAGCTCCGTAGGGGGCCCATAAGGTGGCATGCCTGATGTGGAAGCCCCTTGATCGGGTGTCTGAAAGGAACACTGTGCCAGAGCTCTATCCACTACCTTCGAAAGTAAGGCCTCAAGGCATCCATCAGAGAAAAGATTTCCAAGGTCCAGTCCCCTGAGCCCAGCAGCTGTGGGAGTAAAGGTGGCCTCTGGCACTGTGCCTGGGGATATTGTTGTGTGCTGTGTCACTGTGGGTGGTGAACCTAGAGTGAGCAGTGTCCCTGGGATGGACCACATGCCTTGAGCTGAAGTTGAGGGACCCAATGGGAGATCAGCGTCAGGAGCCGCCAACTGCATCGCATCTAGTCCGGCCTGCCTCTGAGCTCTGGAGAACTCCTTCTCCAGAGCCTGGTGCCTATGGCTGGCTTGCTTCTCCGCCAGCTTGGAAGACTTCTTGAGCGTGTGCTTGGTCTTGGATTTGGACTTGCCTGCCGCGCCCTGTTCAGTGGGATTACTGCAGCCGTAACTGGAGGAGAAGCAGTGCTCATGGACTGAGGCAACATGGAGCCCTCCATCACAATGGAGCAGTCTCAGGAATGCTGAGAGTACGCTCCGGCACGCAAGTAGCTGGCAGGAGCGAAATTGGAACAAGCAACAAGACTGTTCCCCTGACCACCCAACCAGAAAATTAAAAATTTCTCTCTGGGCTTCTATCATGGCACGAGTTAGATACCGAAGGCACGTTTGGAAACACTCTCTGAGCTCCACCCGGAGGCCTTAGGTGGCCAGTCAGTATGCACCAGTAAAATGGGAAAAAAGGCAAAGAAACCCCCCAAAGGGGTTGCAGAGGCCTAAAGGAAAAATGAGTGTCCTAAACAGGAATGATGCAATCTCAATTGGTGGCTACTATTGTATTCTGGGGCCTGTCTGTGTGATTACTGTGATTAGGCCTCATTGGGCCTTGGATGTAACCATGTGGATTTCAAGATGGCCACTGTAACTGCGAATGGGCCTGTTGGGCCTAGAGAAGCCTCCGTTAGAGTAGTGGCCTTCAGTTGAACCCACCAATTGCCCCTGTGAAGTGACTTATTTCAAATTTTAATTCGCTGAAATGTGTTATAATTAGGTCACCGATGGGACCGAGCTAGCTGTAACGGAGTGGATGAGGCCTTACCCGGCTCCTAGCATGCGTCGAGGCTTCAAAATGGCAGCCGTAACTCGTTCTCAGCTGAGAATAGTCCTCGCGGCCCCAACAGCACTTCTTTTGATCTTAGGCAATCGCGGGGGCAGCGCTAACCGCTGCCCGTGATTCCCTTCATGGGCTGCCTTCCAACCGGCAGGCAAACCACGAAGCCTAATTTTGCTTCATTTGCCTGAAACAGCAAACAAAATGGCGCCCGCGACTGCCTCTGGCTGCCTAGGAAGCCTCCGAGGGTCTGAAATCAATTGCTGAGCTCAGATGAACAGCCTGAAAAGAACTCCAGAATGAGGGATGAAAATGGGGTAAATGGGGAAAAAAACGCACTCCTAGCAGCCTCTGCTAAAGGTTTTCCCCCCAGAGCCCTGGGAAAGAAAATAGGAAGGCTGCAGGGAGCTTTCTCCCCCCCTCACACACACACACTACAAAACATGATTGAAGTTAGTACTGAGCCCAGTACTTGTGGGGAATTTGATTAAGAGGATTGTAATTTAATATTTTGCCAATTAAAATAGGGACAATCACCAATGGATTTTGTTCTCTGACCTGCTATCTTCTGAGAGCCAAACCAGATACGTCTTCAAGAGCTGAGACCAAGTTAAGACTGGATCTCCTAGCAAGAGGGGGCATGTCAAGTTTGGCTATTTGGTCTCAAGAGCAGGCAGACAGAGAAAACCATTGGTGGATTCTCCATCTCCTGTACTGGAGAAATGAGAGATTCCCAGAGTGTTAATATGTCTATATAAGCTTAACTGGAATATGGTAATTTTCAAAATAGTAAAGCTTAAAAACAGGATTTGGACTTTTATAATTGAAATGTGACTGACGACCGATTGGATTGATTGAGATTTTTTTACAAATGTATTAATTTTAATTGGTAAAATAATATGTGGGAAATAGAGAGAGAACTTTTAAAGAACTGATTTGTATGATATATGTATGATTTTGTTTTTGGATAATTGATAGCCCAATCACCATGTTGTTTCTTAAGCACTTTTATATAAAAATGAAAAAAACCAATAAAATTTCTTCTTTAAAAAAAAACTATGAGCAATGTTGACATTGATTCATGTCAATAGGATGGTTGATAAACTAAACCAAGAATGCCCTACAGATGTTTTGAATTTCAATAGCTCTTAGTCCCAGCCAATGCAAAGAATGCCAAACAATTGTGCAAGTTTAGCCTACTTCAAATTCTTTGAAGTAGGCTAGGCTGTCTATTCATCCATTAAGAAAGCAAATATTTACCATGCACTTATGATGCTTTATTCTAATTCAGACAGATCTAACACTAACTGGAATTAACTTATAAGTTTAGGTACCTAGGGACCATAGTTGTGCCTCTCTATTACAGATATTAAAAGGCTAGTAATTCTCACTTGATAAAGTATTTTATTCCTTTTCAACTCTCTGAACCTCACTTTGGAATGAACTACATATAGGGTATGATGTACTGCAAGGCTTCAGTCCCCAACATTTGCACACATTCCCTTACTTCATCTCCAACTTCTGCTGATCTTTCCTACTTTCTTTCCTGTTCATCTGTCTTAAAATATTTTGATTACAATTCTCACAAGACTTTGCCAATGGCCATGCTAATTGAGCGGAGGAGCCTAGAACATCTGGAGGGTGTCAGATGACACACCCATGTACTAAGAACTCTCTTTAATTTTCTCAAGAGTTCCCAAATAATTAGCAGCAATAATCTTTTGGAATAAAAACAAATTAGTCTTCAGGAATAATAAATTTATTATAGCATAAGTTCTTCACAGATGCAGATGAAAATTATAATACATTTGTTGACCTTTATAGGTGCCACCAAACCTTGTAGTTTAAATTTCTTATTGGCTTTGGAATAACTTTCTTTAAATATAGAGTAACAACTATGCTCGACAGGAGATATAGGAGTCTAGCTAGCACATCAGACTGGGAAGATTATAAAACTTCAGCAGATGTATTCTCTGTCTTCTTTTATGTTACTTTGATGAATTAGCTGGAATCATCTAGAACAGTGGCCCCCCAACCTTTTGGGCACCAGGAACAGGTTTCGTGGAGAGAAGTTTTTCCACGGACTGGACGGGGCATGGTTTCACATGCTGCCTGCATCCTGTGGATGGAGTGACCAGATCTCTGGCATGCCGTTGTGAAGACATTATAAATTTATTACTCTCTATCTGACACTAAACAAATATTATGCATCTTCCCTGATAGCCTATGTATCATTTCATGAGAAATAACCAGATCTATAGAGAACATGGTTTGAACCATCCGGGGTACCAAATTTCACCAGGTTAGCACATTGAGTAGGATATTCAGAATGCTTTTTGTGCACAAAGTCCAACAATGCTGATAATAACACTTGAGGGCTTATTTTCTTCAAGGAAGTAGTGAAAATATTTCTTATGTTATATAAAAAGGGTATGATTCTTTACCTTGTTAGATAGCAGATGCTTTCAGACATCAGGAATACTGCATGGATAGAAAAAGATTAAAAGTTAGGAATATAAATTTATTTTGAAACTGTTCATGAAACTGATGTAATACAGATATCCTTTTATTTTAAAATTATGGTTAAAAAGCAACTTTTTTCCCAATGGACTGTAATACTGAAATCTGAAAGGGCTTCCTCTGCTTTTCAGAAGCAAATTTATGACTTCTGTTGTACTTCTTTACTTAAAAGGCATTATACACAGAAAGAACCTTCCTCCTGCAATGTAAGTTTGTAGAAAGGGTTTGAATCTCATCCTAGAGAGCATTTGAGCTTCAGAATATCAACAGAGATATTTAATTCCTATATACACTCCCCTTATTTGAAATGAACCTAAGATCTCTTTTAAAGATTTGGTAACTGACAACTGTAATATTAACTTGCCAGGGTAATTTAGGTGCCTGCATGTGAAATAGCAACTTCTTCACATAGAGATGCAGATATTATGTTTTTTCAATGGTGATCCACAAATAATTGAACAGTCTCCCCAATCTACTTTAAGCAAAGATATTTTAAATGGCAAGTGTTGTCACCTTTGACACACTTACCATATGTCTGCCATCACTGAACTAGATCTTCAGTGATAGAAATAGATCTGAGAATGCACAACAGAAACCTGCAAGACAGTGTGAAAAATTTGGCAGAGCTAATAGGGAAACAGCGGCAGATTATGGAAGACAATTAAACATTTCCATATCTAATTTCTCCCTGTTAAAATATGTTTTTATATACTATAATAACCATTCATTGGTGAACCAGATTTCCCCATACAACTCTGGTACCTAGTTTTCCCTTAGTTTCATTCTCTAACTATGGTATATCTTCTGTAATAGCTTTTGATTCCCTAGAACTTCTGAGAACTGTAATCCCAACTGATGTGGAAAGCACTAAAAATAACATTTTTAAGCAAATTGATTTCCCAGATTGGGAAAGCAAGGCACAGAATGCCAAGCTTGTAATTTTCCTGGACATAAGTCAGAGGATCTATGGGGAATGTATGTTCTGCACAGAAATGGTTATTCCTCCATGAGTTTTGGTACAAAACAAATGATAGCCATGTGCAGTTGTCTGATTGCTTTATTATACTTCCAAGGTGAATAATCATGTTTCTATTTTTGTAAAGTGCAATAGTCACCTTTTATAAGACAAGGGCTGTGCAAACTCTTAATGCAATTATTAAATAATGCCACAATTATTTTTTCATGAGATAAAAGATTGTAATTCTAATATATCACTACTTAATATTTTGTAATTACAAATTACAATGGTAAATAAATAGATCAGTCTACATATGTTGAATAGTCTAAAGACTAAATGAAACATCTATATCTAGAAAGAGTATACTTCTGAAGGTAGTTACTGGGGACAAGTAAGTGGCATAGTTGCAAATTTCTGGAATGAAGTTTTATAGGCATAGCATAGCAAAATATCTCTCTACCAGTCATTACAACAACTGCATGTTTTTTCCAGGATTGTGTGACTGTTTCACTAAGACTATTCTAGCTGAAATAACTCTGGAGTGAGGATACAAGCAATAAGGGGAAATTCACAGGAATCTATCCATCATGAAATACTGCAATGTAACAGGACAACAAAAAATATTTGAATGCTTCAAATTATATTCTGGGCTTCTGGACTCAGGCTGACTGATGCTTGCGTCCACCTGCTTTGTCCTGCAAAGTGGGGCTCATCTGGCACTCTTGGCCGATGTCATGCCAGTAGCCACGGCTGGATAAGAAAGGCTCCGAAGGAGGTAGCTACACGGGGGGGGGGGGGGAAGCAGGATCCAGCCCCATTGGGATCAGGAAGGCTCCGAAGGAGGTAGTTCTAAAATCGATGGGCTGCTGCTGGGGAGGAGAATCAAAATAGGGCAAAACGAGTGTAGTCTATCATGGTTTATTGATTGCCAAGTTTTCCTTGGGTTTTCCTGTCCCTTCCTGGGCTATTAAAATCACATTGGCGAGGTCTGTACCAAACATCTGGCTGCAAACTAGTCAACTGGATTTTAGCCTAGCACAGCGGTAGGCAACCTTGGCTCTTTTAGGAAAGAGTAAGTAGATTTTATTTTTAAGTAAATATTTTATTTTAAGTATTTCAGTATTTTTCATAGTAATATGTATTCAAATTCCTAATTCCACTTATGTTACAAAAGGGGCGTTGTCTTACCTGAACGCCTTTTCTCAGCATGATGATGGAGAATCCACAAATGGGTCTACTTCATCTTCCTGCCCAATTAGACTAAATCTAGAAAAGTTGCCATGCCTCCTGCTGGGCTAGAACCCCACCCAGTTACGACGAAGGCGAAGCAACAGACGATAGTCGGGCGTGTTGGCTCCTGCTACCCCAGGCACAGATCCTAATGGACACTGAAGGGGCAGGTGTGGATTCTCCATCATGCTGAGAAAAGGCGTTCAGGTAAGACAACGCCCCTTCTCCAGCATGAGGATGGAGAATCCATGAATGGGACATACTAAAGCTGCCCTGTCCCTATGGGAGGGAATTAGTCAGGGCCTGTGTCCCACGTGATGAGGCCACTTGTTGTAGCACCCTCCGACCAAATGAGGCATCCGCAGAGGCAAAGTTGTTGAGTTTATAGTGTCTCACGAATGGGGAAGGTGAAGACAAAGTCGCCGCCCTACAGATTTCTGCAATGGATGCTTGTGTAGCCCAAGATGTCGATGTTGCAGCACTGTGGGTGGAGTGAGCGGTGAGACAGCTTGGAACGGACAAGGAGGACGATTGGAATGCCCTTGCAATGCAAGCCTTGATCTACCTGCCTATGGTCGATGACGAAACCTTCTGTCCCATGGAAGAGGGTTGAAAGGAAATAAAGAGGGCCTCTGACTTGTGAAAAGCAGAAGTTTGTTTGATGTAATGGCGTAGTGCCCTGCATACGTCTAGGGTGTGCTACTGACGTTTCTGGGGGTGAGACAGACAAGGGCAAAAGTATCACTTCCTGAGACCTGTGGAATAGGGTGTTAACCTTGGGGACAAATGAGGGATCTAATCGAAGGACCACCCTACCCTCGTGGAAGACACACAAGTCCTCCCTGACCGAGACAGCTGCCAGTTCCGATATGCACCTGTCTGACGTGACGGCTATTAGACCTCTGCCGTTCCTGGAGCAGCCTACGGATGACTGCCGGGATCAGAGGGAGAGGGGGAAAGGCGTATAACAGTTCCCTGGGCCATGGGCTGTGGAGGGTGTCCACCCTCCCTGCCCCCGGAGAAGGGAACTGGGAAAATAATCTCGGGAGTTGGGAATTCGCTGGAGAGGCAAACAAGTCCAGTGTCGGATGACTGAACCTCCCGCTATCTCCCAGAATAAGTCAGGATGCAGGCGCCACTTGGAGTGATCCACTGTCGACCTGCTTAAAAAGTCCGCCTGACGATTTGTCTCTCCTGAAATGTGCTCCGCCCTGAGGGATGGAAGGTTGGTTTCTGCCCTGGAACCAACAACTGGGCTCGGTCATGAGCGACCTGGACCGGGTTCCCCCCAATCTCACATGTGCTTTGGCTGCTACATTGTCTGTAAGGACTAGGACGTGATGTCCCACTACATTCTTTCTGAAGTGGCGTAGGGCAAGATGTATGGCCCTAGCTCTAGCCAGTTTATGCTGTTCTTCAGTTCTGAATGAGACCACCGGCCCTGAGCCAACTGGGATCCTAGGTGTGCTCCCCAGCCGAACAGGTAGTCAGGGTGAACCAGACTGGCTCCTTGAACAGAGAGCCCCTGGCTACCGCTGGGCAAGTCCACCAATGAAGGGATCTCAGGGTATGGAGTGGGACCTTGACCCTTTGATTGGAACAGCTGGTGCCCAGTCTTTGAAATGAGAACAGGAACCACTGCAAGTTCCTGGAGCGTAATCTGGCCCATGGTACTATGGCCATGCAAGAGACCATCCTCCCTAACAATCGGGAAAGGATGGCCAGGGAGACGACTCTCTCCCTTTGGATTTGAAGTACCAGGGCTCGTATACTGTCCTGGCGCTCCCGCGACAAATAGACCACGCACTGAGTCGTGTCTATGATCACGCCTAAGTGGAAGAGGTGAGTGGAGGGAACTAACTGTCTCTTCAGAAGATTGAGAACCCGTGGGCCTGGAGGGTCCCGATGCACAAGGTGAGTTCTGAATGAGCTGCCTGGATGGAGGTGGACTAAATGAGGATGTCGTCCAGGTAGCACTGGATTCGTATCGGAATTAATCTCAGTTGGGCAGCCAGTGAGGCCAAGAGCTTTGTAAACACTCTTGGAGTGGAGGAGAGACCGAACGGAAGGGCCCTGTACTGATAGTGGTGGTTTGAGTAGCAGAACCTCAGGAACTTCCAATGGTCTGGAAGAATTGGGACATGTAAGTATGCTTCCATGAGGTCGATGGATGTCAGAAATCATCCCTCCTGATGCATTGTGGTGTCTGCATTTTGAATTTTCTGTATATTAAATGGGAATTTAGCCCCTTCAGATTGAGTATGGCTCTCCATCCTCCTGAGGCCTTTGGTACCACGAAGAGGATGGAGTACAAGCCCCTGTTTAATTGATCCGCTGGAACCGGTTCTATGGCTCTGATTTCCAAAAGATGGTGAATGGCCTCGTTCATGAGGCTTCTCTTGGCCAGATCCCGTGGGGTTGGGCAAGGCAGAAAACGGTCTGGGGGTATGGACAAGAATTCTAAAGACAGACCGTTCCTGATGGTATTGAGTACCCAAGCATCTATGGTGGAGGCTTCCCATCTGTGGATGAAGAGAGACAGTCTGCCTCCTATGGGGGGACCCTCCCTGAAGTCACTTATTTCTTCTGAAGGGACGGCCTCCCGAGCCCCGAAAGGGCTGCTTGGACTGGAACTGTTGCCTAGGTCTAGTACCGGAGCATTCAGACTGGCGGTCAGGCCTGGGAGAAAAGGGGCGGGAAGGCTGGTTCCACTCTGTCCGCCCGTCTGGTAAGGTGAGACATCACCTTGCACTTGTCCCGGTTCTCCGTTAGG